GTATAACGACGCCCAAGACAATGCTCGGAAGGTCGGTGGCGAAAACGCATAATAACGAAGACAGGCGCGCGAAGGTCATGCGACATTCCGCGCCGCGGACGTTCGGCAATCACGCGACGATTCGTCTTTCGGACACGGGACAATGCGACGGTGCAACAAGGGGGATGTCCGGAAAATCGACGGCAAAACGTATATGATCGCGAAGCGTAAAGCGAGCGAAGGTCGTACGACACTACCGTACCGCGGACGTTCGGCAGTCGCGTGGCGATCTCGCTTTCCAGACAATAGACGATGCAACGGTGTGGCAAGACAATTGTTCGGAAGGTCAACAACGGAACGTATATGATTGCGAAGTTTAGAGCGCGCGAAGGTCGTACAACACTTCCGTACCGCGGACGTTCCGCAATCACGCGGCAACTTCGTCTTCCGGACAACGAACACTGCGACAGCTCGACAAAAAAAGATGCTCGAAAGGTCGGCAATAAAAGTAGGCACGAATATTGCATCATCGAACGCGCGAGGGTCGTGCGACACTCCCGTAATGCGGACGTTCGGCAATCACGCGATAAGTGAGAAAGGAGAGCGTACTTACTCCGGTAATTTCTAAGGGTGATTGCGGTCGCGGCCACCGCCGCTAAGGCCACTGTAGCGACCGCTACGATCGTCATCGGTCTCGTCGCCGTTGTTGCTGCTGTCGTTACTACGGCCAAATCTGCTGCTAATGCTGATGCTGATGCTGCTATTGATACTGATGCTGCTATTGATGTTGCTGCTGATGCTGATGCTGCTAATTCTGATGCTGCTAATGCTGATGCTGCGGCGGATGCTCACTATTCCTCACTAATGCTCACTACTGCTCACTAATGCTCACTACTGCTCACTACTGCTCACTACTGCTCACTACTGCTCAACAATACTTGGGCACTCGCGCGGAAATTTCCTTTTTGCCGGCTCCAGGGTTCAACGGCGCACTGGTCGGCACCGGAGTTCAGCGGGTACTGGCGCGCCGTTTTTCGGCGACGCGCCGCTTCTCCTAGCTTACCTCCCCTTAGTCACTTGTTTATTGGCTGGTTTGTTGCTAAGCCGGGTCTCAGCGCCGTCTATACCGATATTTTTCGCCCGCGCAATTTGTTTATTGGTCGGGTCTTGGCGCCTAATTTGCCTACTGGTTACAGAGATAGCGTCGGTTTCGTCCTATTAGCCTAGCTACCCCGAAGCCGATAACGATTGGCTGGTCAGTTAGCGTCGCTTGTCTATCCTTTTTCTATCTATTGCTCGGAAGGCCTTGCCGATTCCCCTCACTCGCGTCCGATCGGTCTCGTATCGGCGATCTCGCTTACTCTCACGCGCTCGGTTGCCCCTACCTTAGTCTAGCTAAGTCTACCTCAGTTAACGGGGGCTTGCGATCAGCTGATCGCGGCTGGAAACTTTAAGGGCTTCCAGCTTCCCGGGGGAGTGTCGGATCGGGTCGTGAGTGCGTGAGGGGTTGTACGCGGGCGTAAGGGTCGTGCGCATCGGTCATGGAGACTTCTGGGGGCCATAGTTCGCGAGATCCGAACATGCGTAGGCGGGTGCATGAGGTCGTGGCTGTTCTGTCGCATAGTGCCGGTAGTATATATTTTTCGCGTGATGACGCATCATCACAACTTGACAACGTTGTACTCCGCGGAGAGACTGACATGGCGGTCATAGTCAGAAACGTGACAATATTTAAAATATGAATACATGAGTTCTCTAGAATAAATTAATAAAATACATTAATTGAAGTAATAACAATACTTTTACTAATTATATTTACGAAAGTCCTGAAAGTTGCATTTCAGTTAATATTGCTATTGAAATGGTTATCTTGCAATGCCTTAAAATAAAATAAATATATTTTAGAAGTAAAATATATGCTGCATATTTCATATAAAATAGGCCTTTATTTTCATTAATTATTACAATCTAAACCGCATATGTAAAGCACATTGTACATAAACAAGTTTAATATCAACACATATTTTTTAAAGTAGAATTGCATGTAGTTTTTAAAATTTATTTATCACATTTTGTTTGATTATAATTTTATATTAATTGATACCATAAATTTTATACTTTAGCAATCGATTTTAAATGATCTAAAATATCTTAGTTAGTTTATTAAACATGCCAGACCAGCGTACAGGAAGAAATTCCTCTGCTGGATTACATGTATATGTAATGTAATTGTACTATATATTATTAATTATTATTAATGTATATTTACTCTGGACTTAAATAAATAAATAAATAAATCTTACAAAATACTTTTGTTTAATTAACGTCACTACTCCCTTTTTCTATCTCTCTAAATATTTTTCGCTTTGTCTTCTGTTTAGTTTTAGTTAGATTATTAGGCAGAATGTAAATGTCCTCAATACTATAAGTCTCAACTCGAAATTGAATTTGTGATGAGAAGGAGTAAAAGGTCAGAATTTAAAACAATCAATATGCACTTTAATTTATTAATATAAATTACTCTAAGATTCAGCTGGCATAAAAAACCCCAGTCGTAGGTGAGGAAAAAGCCATTTAAATAAAACAAATACGAAATAAAACTTACAATAAAAAAATAATATTACTTAAAATAAATATAACAAATATCACGAAGATTATTTAGATTAGAGTAGAAATGATAAACAGTGTGAAGTAATCGTATAAACCCGCTTACATAGTTAGAATGTCGCGGTAATAAATTGAATGGCCACTCAATGAATATTCGCTCGCTAGCTTACCAGCTTGATGCCTATACAACAAAAAATCGATGTAGAGAAACGTCTTCACTGCTAGCTTAAACGTAGCTCATACGGGTAGAGCCCTCGCTAACGTTTCTACTGGTATTGGATCCAACGGGCAAACTGCCGCAAGGGTGAAGATGCTCCAGAGGAAGTTCCTCTGCTAAGGCAACAGGAGTCCTGTCCTTAGCCCCTGATAAGGCATCGCCGATGGTCTCGAGCGAACAACAAAGGTACATGTCTGCACACACACGCACGCAATAGTTTCGCAAGCACAAATACCAACAAGATTGATCGCACGGATAGCAACACAAGGCGTCACTTATTGAAAGAAGATCTATCTCGATATACGTTCGGAAGGAACTGCTGCGTCTCATGCCCTTCAGCAACGTGGAAAGCAAAATTGTCTCTCCTTCCTTTTTCCCTACTTTTCTAGCAATTCAATAAAGCCCAATCAATGAGTCAGGAGACTGTAGTTTTGCTGAACCTACGCATCGCCCACGCGCCTCTCTCTCTCTCTCTCTCTCTCTCGGGTCATCAGATCCTTTTTTTTATGATTTAACGAGCGGTGAGTCCGTAGGATTTCCAACAGACGCGCAACACTTGCAAGACATTTTTTTCCCCGTTCATGTGTTGAAGGCCTGCTGAACAATTCCTTTAAGTATCGCTTTCTCCTCTGGTGAGCACGAGCTGAGCATACCTTCGACATGACCTGTGCAGCTGACAAATTTTCATATTTTAAGCAAAGGTGTTCGAAGACATTCTCAAACTCGGTAGACGCGCAAACGGCACAAACATCTTCACTTATAATAAATTCATCACGTAAATCATTGTAACTTAAATTAGCTTCCGACAATCTTTGCAACATCTTTTTAGAAATAAAACCTTTTAAAGAAAGGACAATTTCAAATTCGGCCCCGGCAAACCCGAGACATCTCCCCGGCTCACCAAAAGGACAGCGCTAGCAGAACTTGCCGGGATCTTTGACCCCATCGGCTGGCTCACACCGCTTACTCTCGTGGCCAAGCTCCTCATTCAGGACATGCGGTGAGCCAAGCTAGATTGGGACGAGGATCTGCCCAAGGTTTGGACCGACAAGTGGCTCACATTCCGGACGAGCATTCACGAAACGACGGGACTTGCCATCAGCCGCTGGATTAGCCACTTCCCCGGCCAGGAGCTCCAGCTCCACGTATTCTCAGATGCAAGTCGCCGAGCCTTAGCCGCCGTGGTCTACTCTCGAGCGGCCGAGGACGGCGGACGGGGATTCACGACCATCATCGGCGCCAAGTCCAAGCTGGCTTCGATCAAGATCCCACGCCTGGAGCTGAGAGCCACGCTCATCGTGGCGCAGCTCTTAAGGAACGTCGTAGCCGCCCTCTCCGTTCCACTGACGAGCTGCCATCTGTGGAGCGACTCCCAGGTGGCTCTTCACTGGCTTCGCTCGGACAGCCCAGTCGGTCATGACCTCATTGACAACTACGTGGCACACATTCAGGAACTCGCCGAGGGAGTTGCCTTCCATCACGTGCCAACCGATTGCAATCCCGCTGACGTCGCCACCCGCGGGACAGACGCCACCCAGCTGGCTCACCACCCTCTCTGGTGGAAAGGTCCCGCCTGGCTCCCTCGTCCGACGAGCGAGTGGCCCAAGGAGGAAGAAACAGTTCCTCTCGCGACCACGTCGCCATGCCTCATCGCAGCTTGTACGAAGATCACTACCGAAACGGACTACATTGAAAGGTTCTCGTCGCTGGGCGCTCTCCTGAGAGACACGGCCCGGGCCATTCGCATCCTGAGATGCCAGGAAGGCCTTCTCGCACCGGTTACCGCCAATGAGCTCCGGCATGCCTTCGTCGTCTGCGCCAAGATCTCGCAGCGTGTAGACATTTCGCCGAAGAGTTAGCTCGTCTCAGTAAAGACGGCTCTCTGCAAGGATGCCACCAACTCAAGTCGCTGGAGCCTTTCATGGGTGGCGACGGGGCAGTTCGAGTCGGGGGACGGCTCGCTCGGTCGCCTCTGCCTTTCGACGAGAGACACCCAATACTACTCCACGGGAAGTCCGCCTTCGCTCAGCTCGTTATCCGCTGGGCCCACGAGCGCTGCCTCCACGAGGGCTTCCGAGCGACCTACTCTCGCGCCCTTCAACGAGCTTGGATCACCGGGGCCCGGGTCCGCATCAAGAGGTTCATACACCACTGCACACTGTGTGCTCGACTGACTGCACGCCCTGCCTCCCAACAAATGGCCGCTCTACCACCGGTCAGAGTTACCCCCGCTCGACCATTCTCCAAGTGCGGGGTTGACTACGCCGGGCCGCTCTCCATGTGCCGCAACAAAGGGAAAGGCGCTGCCACGTTGAAAGGTTACGTTGCGCTATTTGTGTGCCTCTGCACAAAGGCAGTGCACCTGGAGCTCGTCAGCGACCTCACCACAGCCAGTTTTCTAGGAGCCTTTACTTGGTTTGTCGGGAGGCGTGGGAGACCATCTGAAGTTTGGAGCGACAATGGCACCAACTTTCGAGGAGCTGCATTGGAGCTGAGACGTCTGCTCCGAGAAGCCGAAATCGACTGGGGCGTCGTCGAGGGCGAACTCGCCAAGGACGGAACTTCGTGGAAATTCATTCCGCCCTCGGCATCGCACTTCGGGGGCCTGTGGGAGGCCGGCGTCAAGTCGATGAAGAGACACTTGATGCGGGTGGCCTCTCCTCGCCGCCTCACTTACGAGGAGCTCACCACTCTTCTAGTTTCCATCGAAGCTACTCTGAATAGCCGCCCGCTCGTTCCATCTGCTGGTGACCTCGATGACATCGAGGCCCTCACTCCTAGTCACTTCCTAATCGGGACTTCAGCCACCTCTTATCCTCAGACTAGCAGTACCGGCCAACCCCTAGATAGAGCTAGTCATTGGGAGCTCGTCCAGGCCATGAGGAGCCACTTCTAGGCCCGCTGGAGTCGGGAGTACCTGAACATACTCCTCCAGAGGCCAAAGTGGAAATCTCCTCAGCCTAACCTCGAAGTCGGAGATTTTGTCATCCTCGTCGATCCCACTCTGCTTCGACCGGACGGCCGATGGCCTCTTGGCCGCGTGACGGCCACCATGCCTGGATCAGATGGCCTCGTGAGAGCGGTCACCGTTAAAATCGCCACTGGCGAGTATACTCGACCCATCGTCAAGGTCGCTCGGCTACCTATCCAAGACACTTCCAGCTCGTCGACAGCAGCAGCCCCATCAAATGAAGTCGTTCCCGGAACGAGGCGGGCGGGATGTTTGGAATAAGCGCGCACCCAGCACCCTGCCGCTACCGGCGTGCGGCAGGGCCGATCGCTGACGCCTTAGAGAGGGGCCAACAGGGAGCGCTCGACAGTGACCTCTCCCGACAGGAGCCTGTTTTGCGAGCTTTTCTTTTGTCCTGAACGCCTCGATCAAGAGCTTTCCAGAGCGTGTTACAATTGTTCAGAGTGTAATCCGATTTGAGTAAAGCAGAATAAACCGAATTGAAACACCCCACCTTTTTCTTCACCTTCTGCGCAACACTGAGATATTTGATTCAGCGCTATCGTTAAAAAATTCAATATTATTTTCAACTACATCAATATCCCTTACACCAATCGAATTTTCTTTGTCGTCAAACAAAGACATGTTGCTGTTATATGACAATCTTCCAATTTTCTCCCTACGATATTTTAACTATGAACTATTTTGCTACAGTTCAATTCGCCTTCTTTTAATGTTAACATTTAACTCTCTAATTTTACGCTTTTCAGCACTTCCATTTACACGCTGGATTCGATTGACTAGATTCATGCTTGAATTTAAATTTAGTGCAAAAAATATTGAAGCGACAAAGGATTCAGTGTAATTTTTTTGTGCATCATTAGCACTAAATTGATAATTTGCTAGTGCTGTAGCAAATTCACTTAGGTGCCTTGCTGCACATGTAATTCATAAGGCTCTCATAGGCTTGAGAGGACGTAGCCATCAAAAATACAGTCGCGTTATGTACAAGTTTCTTGAAAATACAGTTCAAGTCATCATACAGTACAGGATTTTTAAACTACAAGCCAACGTAATTTTTCTTATCCACCGCAGCCTTACACCACGATCTGCAATTTCCGTGATGCTCAAAAACATGGTTTGGTTTCTAGTGCCACTTTCATCTTATCTAAATTTTATTGAATCATTTTACAGTTCATTATCTGGATCTTTACTTTTTAATGTAGCATGAAGAAGATTACAGTAGATAAACAAGGGAGGCATCAGCTCAGGGGGTTATCAGCTCACTGAGCTGATTTCCCTGAGCTGATACCCGTGCCTCTGCAGCTCAGTATTGTCAATTCACCTCCCCTTCTCTTATGTACTTCGGCACTGTCGACCCCCCTCCCTTTACTGCGCTGATGCCCGTACGTTATTAGTTCGGTACTGTCAACTCACCTCCCTCCCTCCCCTCCCCCTTTACTAAGTTGATGCCCGTGCGTTCTGTGTTCGACACTATCGACTCACCTCCCTCCCTCCCCTCCCCCTTTACTAAGTTGATGCCCGTGCGTTCTATTTTCAACACTTTCGGTTCATTGTGCCCCCTCCCGTACTGAGCCAATGTCCGTGCATTCCCATGCTTTCCGTTCATCGTGTGTGTGTGCGCGTGTGTGTGCGAGCGTGTGTGTGTGTGCGTCTGGATGTGTGTCTGTGTGTGTGTATGTCTCACCTACCGAAAGATGGTTTAATGAAAAAAGTGCAAGTACCTGTGAAGACCAAGATGAAAAAATGCAACACAAAATCCTGCTTACTTTCTTTTATTTGTAGCCTTTATTGTTGTAAGCTAATATAATTAGCACAGTATAAGAATTATCGAATCATTCATCAAACAGTAATCCAATAAAATGGATCGCTACCCTAAAGTAAAGTACTCTCGTCTTCCACGGGAAGATCCGGACGAAAAGAAGAACAATCATCGACATGGAAACAAACTATTTCCAAATTTTCCAGCAATACTAACAATTTTCCTGAACAAAAAGGCTATTAGCAGTTAAATAACGAAAAAAAAGGACTAATAATCATATGTAGACATGTCATCATTATACTCCACCTCAATAAATAAACATTTTTTTTTCATCTAAATTCTGTGTTCTATAAATTTTTTTTTGTTGATAAAAATACAAAATTTATTATAAAAAGATGAACTGCTGCTGCTGCTACTGCAGTGATCGTCAGAGTCAGCGTAGAATTTCGCTTTTTTTTGGATGGTTTATTAAAAAAATAAAAGAATATTTTTTTGTATCAATAGAAAAAAATTTTTTATTATTAAAAAATATATCTTATTCTACATGTTCTTAAAAAATATGTTATTCTACAAATTATTTACTTAGAAAAAACAAAATCACTATATCAATCCTTCAACGACTTCATCACTGTCTTCCGAATCCATATAACAGCCATCAATGTAAAACTTTTTCATTAATTTAACATTTTGATGTGCACATATCGGATTGTTACGTATTTAGCGTTATGATTAAGGCATCGGTAACTGATTTTAATTTTTTGAAAGGTGAATAGTCCTAATCATTCAAATCAAAAACTTTAAGGCTATATCGTTCTAACCACTCTTTTTTCAGATCTCCGGAAAAGAAAATTTTTTGTGGCATCTTTGAGTGTACCTGTGATGATGAATTTATGCTCTTCGTATTTAAAATCGCCAGAGTTCCATGCTAATCCATGATATTAGCGTTCTAACCAGAGATTTTGTCGCTCATATTACTCCGTTAGTCTTCACCATGAAAAGGAAGGTTAGAATAAGCATATGAGTGGTTCTTCGTTGTAGTTAAGTGGAGGTATCGCTAACTCTTTCACAGCAAAAGTTTCGCCAGGCATCATGAAGCCTTGCATATCCACTACCTACCCCATTGCAATAGAAAACTACTACTGAGCTACTTAAGGAAAGAGTCAATTCTTTAATACCCTTCTCCCATCCGAAATAAGTTGTTTCAAATCTCCATTTATCGGATTATACTGAACGATGCAATCGTGTAGAATAATACAATACGCTGTAGTTCCTTCGGGAATATTTTCTCTGGTTTCGAACTCCAAGAGCACATCTACTGGAGCAGTTTTTAATGATTCGTTTTGTTTCGAATAATCAATCACTACGAGTGATCTGTAATTTATATATTCGAGTTTTTTGAGCATGGGTTTGGCATCTTTATCGTAGTATACGTTTTGAAAATTGGCATACATATCGTACAACTTGCGGACTGATTTTTATTGAAATCAATGTTAAGATTGCCATATGGATAGCTCTGAGAGTTAAGATACAGTTTTACATTTCTGATGTTACAATGATCAAATATACTAGCGTTAGAGTTTTATTCATTTTTACGATTGGAAGGCTAAAGATGACGTAGAGTGGTTTCTCCAACTGATTTGTCGTTTTAACTGTCCAGACGTGATTTTTTTTTTGCAGGAAACACTGAATATTCGTACTGTTTCCAACTACGAAAACTCATTGAAATACTTGGTTCGCTTATTAAAAAGTTGAGTAGACGCATTTTCTTTGCATTCGATGCAGTCACATAGGGCATAAGCCATTCGAGACGTGTTACATCAATCATAAATTCTTCGTAAGCTTCAACGTCGTTGACGGTCATCTTCATTTGATAATCTGTATTTACATCGGTACTCGATCGTATGAGAATTAATTCATGTGCCATATTTACTAGCATAATATAGTCCTCAGCGAATCTAAGTATGAAGATCAGAGGCATCAAAATATCAAAGTCGCCATTCGCATTAGTTATTTTATAGTCCTCTTGTTTTATATTAATCCATCCGGCATTTTTGCACGAATCTAGTTACTATTTTTAACGATGAATTGATGTAAGGTTAATGAGCATGATCTCATATGTAACGGTCTTATCTATGAGCTAGTTGATTATGTTACTGAATCACTGCAACCCGTCAAACGCATGTATCTGTTTACTCAAATCAGCACATTAAACGGCACTACCTCACCGATTATTTGATTGTATTAGTACAAGAGTCTAATTTCATAACCAAAATAAGGAGAGTGACGTCATAAAGTAATAGATATAGTTATAATGATTTTTGTTATTTAAGAAAAATATGTTAATTAGAGATAATTTTGATATAACAAAGCATCTTTTATATAGATTTTATTACGTAGATTTAAAATATAGTAATACGAATTGCGTTTAATTATTAAATAATAATGAATTTGAATATGCAAAGTTAATTTATTTATTACACTAAAAATATGAATTATTAGAAAAATGTAAATAGTCGATATGCCAAATGAATAAGAAAAGAACATGAATAACAATTGGTTTCATTAATAACAGCTTAATAATAACTGCTATTAATAAATAAACAATGAATAATTTATTTAAACAATGTCGTCGATCTCGTAGTTCCCGACAGGTATGTCGATAATTTGATTTGCGACGTAAAATTTATTATTATGTACGTCGATATTAGGTATCGAGTTGAACGTTAGAATAGTGTGCTTCCAACAGTGAAGAATTACTTGAGAGCGTCAGAGTTAACGAATCCTCCATAACTGTCCGAACATGACTACCGATATTTTCACGTTGCCTTTACTTTTATACCCTCGCACAAAAATTGCAAGCAAAGATGACCGCATAAGTGAGAATTGAAATCTTGATATCTTTTCGTATTATATTTGATCTCGATATCGCCAAGATACATCATTAAATCAATAGGTGGCCTAAGATCTCCAAAGCTATCAAAATATGTGACGTTTTTTCCGATTTTGCGATAAGCTATCCAGTGCGTTCCTGTTCCTTCGATGCCATCAAGATTGACTATAGCTGATTCGTGATAATATGGTCCAGAACTCGGTAAGTCATTTCTCATGAAGACTCCGTGAAAATTTGGTATACTCAAAATTTTTGCATACTTCATCAAGTCGG